GTAATCGCAGTATTGTTTTTGCAAAAAGCGAGGCAATGCAACGTCTTTGAATCCGAACCGAGAGCAGTTTCTTCTCGTCCCCCCTCTCCTTCTTTCACTCCTATTTGATTTCTCGCGCGTCCAGTGTGAGATTTCATTTTTTTTTTTTCTTTTTTTGGGTTTTCTCGTTTAGTAAAAAGCTAGGCCGCTGTTAGGCGTTCAGGCGGTTTCCGGATCACGCGACACACGTTGCTCGGTTTAATCTTTAGTCCCGTCGAGCAACAGTCGCTTCTCGAAACGTCCTCGCCGGTTTCGTGTGTCCCTTAAATTAATCGATATCACGTTAGAACTATCGTTACAACTACGCGTTTAAAACGTACTTTGAAACATTTTCTTTTATATAATTACAAGAATCCTGTCAACGTGTAATTAAAAATCTCCACCTTTCTCTCGCTAGTCTGTACAACGTATCGCTTTCTCTCCCGCTCTCTCGTACTGTTTCTCTTCGCGTGTACACGTAACAACGATGATAATGATAATAAATAACCGTACGCAATAATAATGACAACCGTAATAATAATTTAACATCGTTCTAGCGGTATCACCATAGCGTGTCATAGCGTGGCATCGAAAACACGAAAGAATCATGGCGAAAAAATAGCTTGGCGTGTGTCGAGACCTTCGACCAACGACTAGCGGTGGTCCTCGGTTCCTATAGCGTGGCTTTTTTTTCTGTTTTTTTTTTTTAATCCTAAGAGGAACGTCGCGCCTCGATTCGACTCTAAACGCGATTTACCATCGCAGGGGCGCGCGGGGGGGGTGCAAGCGTGATCGCTCGATTCGAACGTGGTCGACGTTCCTTCGCCAGGATGCGGTCCGTTAGTTTCTCTAGGAAGGTTCGATTTCTTTCGCATGCCTCTTACGTAGACTAGTATAGTAGAATAGTAGAGTTAATCGAGTGTTAAAAACCGAAACCCGACTGGTTCGACGACCGCAACCAAGATGGCCGGCAAACATCGAATACACGAGCTTCGTCGCGGTTTCTGCGATGCTTCCGTCACTTCGGACGATCGATTATCGAAACGAAACAGCTCTTAGACCCTGTACGGAACGCTTTCTCTTACTTTTCCTCTCTAGATTCTACCTAGGAACGGCAGTGGTAGCTCATTTTACAGTAACCGATTGAATTTTAACGAAAGATCCAATATGGCGGCGAGTGGAGGAACGTAACACGCGTCGTGGTTCTGATTAGGTACGCGAAGTCGATGCTACGAAGCTCAAAACAGCCGAGCCAATATGAAAAGTCGGGAACTGAACTTCTTGAGAGAAGGCACCTTGCACAACGGACAAACAAAGCTACCCCGAACAAAGAGCAGCCTACGTAACGGTGGGAAGGGGGGGAACCAAGTTCGTGTTGATGTTTACATCGTGTACGTAAACAAAGTCCCGGCGAACTTCTAATTACGCGTCTCGAAAGCGAGCCTTCCACCGGCGCCATATTGGTATCGTTTCGACGTCGAAACTAACGTAAATTTCTACCAAAGAACAGATTTTCGACGGAACGTTCGCGCGGAAATTTATTTCGAGGATCAACGGGGGGCGGTCGAAATTTTCAAAGGAACCCACAACCGAGCTCTATACGCATGTAAAATCGCCGAATCTCGCGACCCATTTTCCCCCAAGCCGCCGGAGCGATTTTAATCAAATTTTGACCGAGTACTCTGCTAATGGGGCTGAATAAATTGAATCTTCTTTTACAAACATCGTAGAAAAAGAGTGACATGCTTAATAAATCGTTCGAATATAGATGAACGATTTTTTTTTTTTGTTCCCCCCGGGGGATCCTGAGAAAACAGGTCGACGATTCGTTCGTTGGTCGATCGAAAGCTACTGAAACGAACTAAAAAACTATTTCTCGGTGTTCGTGGGGCTTGTTAAGCAACGGCGTGGACAGAAACATTGGAATCTGTTAAAGAATTTCGTAAGAATTGCATTTGAAACGCTGGAAATCCGGGAATACGAGCGGCCATCTTGTTTACGATCCGTGAAATCGACGAGTCCGTTCCGTTCGAGCTCCGTCGATCGGCCAGTACGCGTTTTCGTTTGCGACACGATGCAATTTCAAGGCAGAAACGGGACGTTTTCGATCGGATCGGAAAACTGCGAACGACATCTACTTCGAACGATTATTTCCAATAATCGACTGCCGGGGGATCGCTAGTTTAATTAAATGGAACGAAGAACACGGTGCTCGACTAAACGATAAAAAGTAATCATTCGCGGATAACGAGAGTTTCTTCGTGTATTAAAGCGTCATTACTGCAAAACGAGACTTATCTCGACAGAAAATTTTACGTAACGTCGATCGTCTCGATAACGCGATCATTTGGTTCTATTGAAAATTCCGGGGAATAGAGACCGGTTACTTGGATTTATTTCATCGAAAATACGATACGTATTCCACTAGGGTCCGTTCTCCTAACAGAGATTTACGTTTATCGACCGTGTGTCGCGTTTATTTATTTGTTAACGGGGTAAAGAATAAATCACGAATCTGCAACGTACATTGACAATTTTATTATAAAAATTGTGTGGTAAAAATGACTAGCAATTTATGGTTTGATATTGAAAAGAATATAAAATTTACACAATTTTATTGGAAAAAATTGTTTGGTAAAAGTAACTAGCAATTTATAGTTATTATTGATATCGAAAAGAATATAAGATTTACACAATTTTATTGGAAAAACTCGTTTGGTAAAAGTAACTAGCAATTTATAGTTATTATTAATATTGAAAAGAATATAAGATTTACACAATTTTATTGGAAAAATTGTTTGGTAAAAGTAACTAGCAATTTATGCTCATGATTGATATTGAAAAGAATGTAAAATTTACACAATTTAATTAAGAAAAGTCGTTTGGTAAAAGTAACTAGCAATTTATGCTTATGATTGATATTGAAAAGAATATAAGATTCACATAATTTAATTAAAAAAAATCGTTTGGTAAAAGTAACTAGCAATTTTCTGGTTTGATATTGAAAAGAATGTAAAATTTACACAATTTAATTAAGAAAAGTCGTTTGGTAAAAGTAACTAGCAATTTATGCTCATGATTGATATTGAAAAGAATGTAAAATTTACACAATTTAATTAAGAAAAGTCGTTTGGTAAAAGTAACTAGCAATTTATGCTCATGATTGATATTAAAAAGAATATAAGATTCACACAATTTAATTAAAAAAAGTCGTTTGGTAAAAGTAACTATCAATTTTCTGGTTTGATATTGAAAAGAATATAAGATTTAGATAGTTTTATTAGAAAAATTGTTTGGTAAAAGTAACTAGTAATTTATGCATATGATTGATATTGAAAAGAATGTAAGATTTACACAATTTCATTAAAAAATCGTTTGATAAAAGTAACTAGTAATTTATAGTTTCTTTTAATATTATAAAGAATGTAAGATTCACACAGTTTTATTAGAAATATTGTTTGGTAAAAACGACTAATAATTTATGCTTATGATTGATATTGAAAAGAATATAAGATTCACACAATTTAATTAAAAAAAGTCGTTTGATAAAAGTAACTAGCAATTTTCTGGTTTGATATTGAAAAGAATATAAGATTTAGATAGTTTTATTAGAAAAATTGTTTGGTAAAAGTAACTAGTAATTTATGCATATGATTGATATTGAAAAGAATGTAAGATTTACACAATTTCATTAAATAATCGTTTGTTAAAAGTAACTAGTAATTTATAGTGTCTTTTAATATTATAAAGAATGTAAGATTCACACAGTTTTATTAGAAATATTGTTTGGTAAAAACGACTAATAATTTATGCTTATGATTGATATTGAAAAGAATGTAAAATTTACACAATTTTATTAGAAAAAGTCATTTGCTAAAAATAACTAGCAATTTATAGATACTATTAATATTGAAAAGAATGTAAGATTTACACAATTTAATTAAAAAAAGTCATTTGCTAAAAGTAACTAGCAATTTATAGATACTATTAATATTGAAAAGAATGTAAGATTTACACAATTTAATTAAAAAAAGTCGTTTGGTAAAAGTAACTAGCAAATTATAGTTACTATTAATATTAAAAGAAAGTATAAAATTCACACAATTTAAATAAAAAAAGTCATTTGCTAAAACTAACCAGCAATTTATAGTTACTATTAATATCCAAAAAAAAATATAAAATTCACCGAATTGAATTGAAAAAAGTCGTTTGCTAAAACTAACTAGCCCCTTACAGTTACTGTTAATATAAAAAAGAACACAAAATTCACCGAATTTAATTAAAAAAAGTGATTTGCTAAAACTGACTAGCCCCTTACAGTTATCGTTAATATAAAAAAAAAACACAAAATTCACCGAATTTGATTAAAAAAAATCGTTCGATAAAGCCACCCAGCAACGTACGCTCGCGATTAATATAAAAAAGATCGTTCGAAGTAGCGTGGGTGGGTATCTATGTGGTGTTTTGGGTAGCGAATGGCCGTTCGACGGGCACGACAGAGTAAAGTCGCTAGTGTCTACGGTTTATAGGCGAAAAGAGTTGTTTTAGAGAGAGAAATCAGCGAGCGGTCGGGCCGGGGCCGTCCATCGTCCAACGAGAGCGTCTAAATTCGTGTTCGTTTCGGATGGGATCGTGCCAAGGTGCGTCGATCGCGATCGGGCGATCGGCTCGCCGAGTAAATCGCGGGGGCGACGAGCCGCGTATAATAATATATTTTACACGTTTATCTTAGCGAGACTCTGTGTTCCCGTCGCGAGACGATTATTTCATATTTTTTTTTTTCTTTTTTTTCTTTTTTTTTTGGCAGTTCGACTGACGCCTGCTCGGCGAGTCGCGGATCGAAGTCGAGAGAATATATGTATATATTATCGAGGAACTCGTTCTGGCCCTCGTTAGATCGGGGGCCCCTCCCCCTCCCTCCCCCCCCACCCCCCTGTATACGTTAACGAGGCGCGGTTCGATGGGGAAAAACGGCTCCTCGAGGTGGGGGTGGGGGTGAAACGCGGGTTTCGTGGTATCGTTTAAACGTTTATCGTGCCTCGAGCGCGCCGTTACGACGATCGATCTTGTCCGGATCCGAGAGACACTGGAGGCTAGGGGGTCATCGTCGATGGGAACGGTAGTAGTAGTTTCGTAGAAGAATAAGAAGAAGGTGAAGTAGAACAACAAGAATAGTAAGAAGAACAGGAGATTAAAACGAGTCGTGGGATCTCTCATTTTTTTTTTTTTCTCTTTCCCCCGAACCCTATATAGTTATACAAAGTGTGGTGTTAGTTCCTAATTTCCGCGCGATCGTTGGCACGATCGGCCGGACGCGCTCGCTGCGTCTAAAGATAAACCGGCGGGCCCGTTCCCCGAACAGGACAAACGTCACCGCGATAAATTTACTTAACGTGATGAGTATTTTGTTTCAGGTATTTCAAGGTTTATACAATATGTACACGTACTTTTTCGACTAGAAGAAAAAAAAAAAAAAACGTTTCTCTTTCGTTTCGTGTCCAACGGGTTGACCCGCGTGTGGTCGACGACGCCGCCTGCGTCGTACAAATTGATCGACGATCGAGGGGGGAGGTTTTTTTTTTTTTTGTTTTCTAAGGGACGTAGGGAAGGGACGGGTGCCGCCAACGGTTTTCGATAAGTTCTAGTCCCCCCCCCCCCCTCCCCCCCGGGAAGGCTGAGCCCGTGTTCCTATTTCCCTTCCTCCGGCGATCGATTCGAGGAGGACTCCGGGAAACTCGTCGACGACGATGACGATGACGAGATGACGAGACCCGTGTATGTGCGTCCCGCCAGGGACCCCTTGGTTCGCGCGTCCCCCCTTTCTCTCGTTCCTAGGCCGGACAGACCAGGAACTCGTACTCGAACATCAACGAGACAGCGACGAACACGAAGTACAGGAGGAACATCGTGAACCCGAGGCCCTTGTTCATCCGCCACTTGAAGCAGGCGATGCTCATGATCACGAACAACAGCATGCAGAACAGGATCGCTATGCTGCACACCATACCCACCGAGTTCACCTCGACGGGCTTCCCGTAGATCAGGCCGTACAGCAGCCAGGGTACCGGAAGCCTGCAACAGAGGAACATCAAATAATACGTTAGCAAGACTTTAATATCATCTTTTTGTCGACATTCTTCCACAGATTGAATTCACCCTTTGGAAATGGAGCTTCTTAGAGCATTTATACATTCTTCGACAAGTTGGTTGCACTTCGAAACATTAAAATCCTTCGATTTGTTCGGGAGTTATGATGTTTTAATGGCGCGCATGAAATTTCAGGGGGGTCAGATATCGTGTTCTCGGTAAGGAATTTTTTTCTCGAATACGGGTAGGATTTCGGGGGTATGTTTAATGAACAAAAATGATTTCAATTGACAACTGACAATATTTTTTTCAAAACGATTTGAAATTTTTTTTTTTTTCGTCGAAAAATTTCACAAGTTATCGAATTTTTTTCTGGAAATTGAGTAGGATTTTAGGGGTGTGCGTATTCACCAAAAATGATTGTTATTAACACCCCTAGCTAGCAATAATTTTTTTAGAACGATTTGAAACTTTTTTTTTTCAGCGAAAATTTCTGTACTTACGGAATTTTTTTCTCGAAACTGGGTACGAATTCGAGGATATGTCTAATGACCAAAAATGATCACAATTGACCCTCTTAGCTAAAACTAATTTTTTCAAAACGATTTGAAATTTTTTAATTTCGTCTAAAAATTTTACATTTTCACAAATTTTTTTCTCGAAAGTGGGTAGGATTTCGGGATTATGTCTATTCATCAAAAATGTTTGTAATTGACCCTTTTAACTAAATATAATTTTTTTAGTATGATTTGAAATTTTTGAATTTCTTCTAAAAATGTTACATTTTCACAAATTTTTTTCTCGAAACTGGGTAGGAATTCGAGGGTATGTCTATTCACCAAAAATGACTGTAATTAACCCTAGTAACCAGAAATAATTTTTTCAAAACGATTTAAAATTTCTCAATTTCGTCGCAAAAATTTAGGCACCTACCCCCTGTCGATTTTTCTTAAATTCGTTTTTCATTTTTAATCGGTTTGTTCGACGTGCTACAGAAAAGTTGTCTAATACTTTTTTATAGGTACCAATGGGCTCTACTTCAGAAAAAAGTTTCATTGAAATATATTCACTATTGTAGGAGTTATGGTTGTTTGAAAATTGAATTACTTTTATGGGGTTTTTCCCACATTACGGGGTTAAGGAACAACTTTTTCAAAATTTTTACAATCTCTACATATTCTTCACTAAAATACGCGTCGTTTGCTACTTTAAACATTAAAATCCTCCAATCCGTTCAGAAGTTATGATGTTTTAAAGATACTTATGAAATTTCAGGGGAATGAATCAACGGTATGGTCAGACAGTGTACTTTTGGTAAAGAATTTTTTTCTCGAAAATGGGTAGGATTTCGGGGGTACGTCTATTCACCAAAAATGTTTGCAATTGACCCTTCTAACTTAATATAATTTTTTGTCGTATGATTTGAAATTTTTGAATTTCTTCTAAAAATGTTACATTTTCACGAATTTTTTTCTCAAAAGTGGGCAGGATTTCGGGGATATGTCTATCCACCAAAAATGATTGTAATGGATCTCTGTAATTGAAAATAATTTTTCCAGAATAATATGAAATCATTTAGTTTTCCTCGCTTTACCTTTACATTAATATTAATAATTAATAACGTGAAAAACTTAGCTGGAAAGACACAGTCTTTGTTAATAATATCGAGATTAATTTGGTCGGACGATACCAAACAACGAGGAGAAGCAGCATGGTTGAATTTATGAATGCACGTGATAATTGGAGGGAATTTGCCTACTTTGTTCGGTATCGTTGCGACAGAATTCATGGGGCGAGACTAGGAGGTGCGACAACAACGTTTCGAGAGTAATTTTCTTTCCGTTCTTGGTAGCAACAATGTAAACAGCTACGTCCGCCAGCTGTGTAGCTTAATCCCTCCTCTAACTACATGCAAAAGGTAAACATTGTTAGTCGTTTTAAGTCACTGTGTAGGTTCGCGTAAAGACGTGTTTGAGTATCCTGTTACGCGAAAAATGGAACGCAATTTAGAGCGAAGGGTTTGCGATAAGCATTTCCGGTGAAATGCGCCGTTTACGAAAAATTGTCCCGCGAGTTTCACCGCCGTGTTTATTTGCCTTTTTCCAGCCCTCGAGAATCTTCGCGAGAAAAAAAAAAAAAAAACAATGTGCACGGTTAACAAAAAATTAATCTGGACAGCCAGAGTGTAGCTTTGCATTTAATCGTTATATTCGTAAATATTTTAACGAGGTTGCGAAGCGACTTTGCGAATTACAGTCGAGGAATTAGACTGGGTGATAATGGACCCGTCAAAGGAGCCCAATTTACCGCTATACGAGCTCGCGGGATAATAAATTCCGAACGGGGCTTAAAAAGCCGAGGTTTGAACAATGGAGAATATGTCCAACTTGTCTTACAGGCGCGTTGAAACAGATTTTAATGAGCAAGTACGGGGCCCCTGGAAATTATCTAGCTTTTAATTATCTTCCGCGTGGAAATGGCCGCGAGGTGTCGCCACTGCTCCTTTCGCAAAAACAATCGAACGAGCGTCAAATTTATTACAATAAAATGTATCCGACGGTACGAAATAAGAATTAAAATGCAAGTTTAGTCGTAAAATAAATCGTCCGATGTCTCGAGAACCGTTCGACGCGTGTAATTGTTTTTCTGGCTCGTTAGCGGGACCGTCTGTTCTTTTTGTTCGGAGCCTCGCGGCCATTTTCCTCCTCGTCCTTCGGTTTCCCTATATTCTAATTTACCCGGGTTGCATATTTATCGGCCGTGGGTTCGTTATCGTCCCATTTTTCCCGTGGTAATTCCACGGCCGAGGATTTATCGCCGCGGCCCGCCGAATACGAAGACGTTTAAATTAATCAACTCAATTAGCCTAATTACTTGCAAACGACTTGCGAGCCCCGGCGCAGCTTAATTTTTCTCGAGGTAACGGGCCGCGGGAGAATGTTTCACCGGGAGCATTTATTTCCAATAATTAATAAATCGGTCCCCATGTAAATAGAAATTACGAACCAACGTCTGTCGATTTACTTGCCTCGAAAGCTATCGAAAGTACTTCAAAGTATTTTTAAATAATTCAGAATTAAATAGGAGCAGTCGCTATGTCCGACCAATATTCGATATTTCTACTTGCAGCAGTGTTTTTTAAATGTTTGTTGGGTTACAGTGTCGTTTGTTTCCTGTAAATCTATAATACTATATTCAGAACTATCTAAAAAAAATACTAAATAGATTCTAAACCAATACAAATGCTCCCTGAAGCCAAATTCAAGTAGTATGAACGAATATTGGTCAGACGGTATGAATTTCAATGGATCAAAGACATTATGGTTGTTCCGTAGGAGAAATAGGATAGAAAATGTAGAATAAAATTTTTTCCTACGAGGCTCCATTCACGAGAAACTTCGATCTAATCGCTATGTCCGACCAATATTCGATATTTCTACTTGCAAAAGTGTTTTTCAACACTTACTGCGTTACAATGTTGCTCATTTCTCGTATTTCCACCTACTATACCTAGAACTAAGTGAAAAAAATACTAAATAAATTCTAGACCAGCAAGAATACTCCCTAATGCTAAATTCAAGTAGTAAGAACTAATATTGGTCAGACGCGCGAGCAAAGACGCTGTAAATCTAGCAATTTCTCTACAAATCTTCATCGTTGGTCTCACTACCAAGTAGGACACTAGAATTTAAACAAATTCGAAGAGTTAATCGATTGGAGATATTTCTAAATAATTCAGAATTAAATCAGAGTGCTTACGTAGACTACTCAGTGCTTTGATCGTTAATTAAAAGAATTATTTGGATGAGGTTCAGAGCAGAGAATAGTCAGAAAAGGGGGGAGAAGAATTGTTACTTGTCTTAATGTTTTGTCTATGACTTTGATTGGGATTATAAACAATAGAAATAGAATTTCAATGGATCAAAGACATTATGGTTGTTCCGTAGGAGAAATAGGATAGAAAATGTGGAATAAAATTTTTTTCTACGAGGCTCCATTCACGAGAAACTTCGATCTAATCGCTATGTCCGACCAATATTCGATATTTCTACTTGCAAAAGTGTTTTTCAACACTTACTGCGTTACAATGTTGCTCATTTCCCGTATTTCCACCTACTATACCTAGAACTAAGTGAAAAAAATACTAAATAAATTCTAGACCAGCAAGAATACTCCCTAATGCTAAATTCAAGTAGTAAGAACTAATATTGGTCAGACGCGCGAGCAAAGACGCAGTAAATCTAGCAATTTCTCTACAAATCTTCATCGTTGGTCTCACTACCAAGTAGGACACTAGAATTTAAACAAATTTAAAGAGTTAATCGAGTGAAAATATTATTTAAATAGTTTACAATTGAACTTGTTGCAGAACAAAGGTCGAATTTAATCAGAGTGGCTTTGTGGGTAATAAATATTTGAATTATTTTTTTTTTAGAGAGTTTGGAGGTATTGGGGGAGGGTTGCAGAGCTTCCTGGATCCAGGTTGGTGGGAATGGCGGGGAAAGCGGCGTGCCAGTGACTCTGTGCCAGAGGAGGGAAAGGATCTACGGGAACGCGTGGGCTCTGCGGCTCCCCTATGGATCATCGTTGGAAAATGAGTCGTTTCTGGCACGGTATTTCTGCTATTTCGCGCGCCAACGATATAATAATACAGGAACGACGGGGGAACGAACGGGTGTACGCCATTACGGTGAAATAGCGAGAATACTTGAATGGGCTGCCGCAACGACCAATTCCGCGCGTCTCCTCTTGGCTCCGACCAGATCGTCGCTGGAAATTCCAATTTATACGTTTCGCGGCCGTTCGGATCCTCGGGTTTCGTACAATAACCGGGCATCCGGTTCTCACCGACCCGATATTCGACGGTGTTATTCGGGTCGAGGGATGCTCGGGAATCTCAAAGATCTCCAAAAGATTTAATAGCCTTAAAGAATCTCCGAGGCTCGAAAACTTTCCAAAGTCCTCTGGGAAAGCCCCGGAGCCTC